CTGAAGTTGGAGAAGAACCATTTTGGAGGGCCAAGCTTCGTACTCCCACAGGGAGGTAGAAGTTAAATGCTAGGAAAAGGTCTTCAATCTGCTATTTTGTAACCATTATCTCTGGTTTGGTCCAAAATTGGCCCACCAGCAAAACAGTACAGCTTCAGGCTAAAAATACATTCAGGGAAGTTTTCACCTCTGCCTTCCTCTCCCATCTCCTGCATGCCCAAGGCAGCAGATGACCTTGGAGGCAGCATTCCCTAGACTGCTGCTAGTTTCTTACTGTTATGTTGCTCCTAACATTTCTTTCAAACATAATGCCTGTATCAGTAGCACCATCTAAATGGATAAAGGATGAAAGATGTGCAGTTTTGAGCTGTAGTCACAGCCAAGTAAGTGTTCAACTGTAACTGTTCAAGTTACGGCTTGAAAGGGGCTGGTCACAGGTGGGGAATCGACCTGTGCATGGTGCTCCACCTTCCCAGGCCTGGGGATTTATTTCTTGTCTGCTATAACAAGTAGCAGGTTTTGAATGACATCTATTAATTAGTACCAGTAGTAGTATTTACATTGGAGACAAGAGGAACTGTTACTTACAAAGGAACAGAATTTAAAATTCACATCCTAAAGGCAAACCAATGAGGCATTCCTCTTGGTGGGAATGATAACATCTACAAAGGTCAATGGGATTCTATTTAAGTACAGAGAAGAGAAAACAAAAATGGATTAATCAATAGTTCTTTGGATGGTCTTCCTGTCATATGGTCATTAGTAGAGGAACTGGGTTTATGAACAGTTTTATAATAATCCTGGGAGTGATCAGAGGTTGAATTTGGAACCTTTTTGGGACATACCTGGATTCTAATGAATCCGCTCACTTTGTGCATGTATGTCTTTTTTAAATTAAAAACTGTCTGAATGTTGCTAATACCAATATAATGAATGTTCACTGCCTTAAGTTATCAAACTTGTTAACTCTCCCGATGGAAACTTCAAGGCACTAAACAGCAAGTGAAACCTGCAGACACACCCCACTATAAACTCTCATTTTTCTGCATTAGAGCTAGAGATAATTGCTTTTCTTTCTCATTTAGCAATTTCAGACCATGCTAAAGACTAAGTTGAATGTCCTAACTCTTCGGAAGGAGCCTCTCCCAACAGTGATCTTCCATGAACCAGAAGCCATTGAGCTGTGCACCACAACTCCACTCATGAAGACCCGGACTCACACTGGATGCAAGGTACTTGGGAGTTTAAACTTCAGGAATGAGATCACTGTGAAGGTGTTGCATGTACATGTGAGGGCTCTAGAGAGCCCAAAGTAACCAACATGGTCATTGATGCTGTTCTGGAAACTCCATTAACTGCTGCTATTACTATAATGTTTCTAAATCAAAAAAGTCATTGTGTGTTTCTGACCAGAAATTTTGGGATTCAGGAAAAGAAAGTTTAAGTTGTGTGGCATAATGGAAATTGTGGAGAGTTTCTAACAGCCTGCATTGAACGTAGTTTGCTGTAAACACTGCCAGTTTTTCAGTAAGTGCTAGTGCTGAGATGGGAGGTGAAGGGCTAAATGCTGTGTATTTGCATTGAGCAATTTGTACTAACACAGGGTTGTAGGCTGTAGTAGGGTTGCAACTTAAAACTCAAGATTAGTTTGGGTTATTTGGTGGTTTGTGGTTTGTTTGTTGTTTTTTTTTAATGAGAGGAAAAAAAGAAAAGGGTAGGAAGGAGACTTAGATCTTGCTTTTCTTACGCAACAAACTGAATTTTCCCAGTTATATCAAAGCACTGCTTCTGGAAAAGCTCTTCTTAAGAGCTTAATGGCTTAAGAGCTTTGAGTGTATTCTTCAGTGGCAAGAAACCATATAAAACCAGCAAATGAACCTGCTCTGTTTGCATCTTCTCCTGGAGCCATTTTGCTTGGTGGCAGAGCTCGCCTGGCTGGCAGAGCTCACCTGGCCTGCAGAGCCACGGCAGCCTGAGCTGGTCCTGGCCGTCAGCTCCAGGGAGTGTCCACCTGCCCCATCAGTCTTGGTGAGAATGGAAATTAACTGGGCCTCAGTCCCCACTGCTCTGTGGAGTGTCAGCTCTAGAAGAGCTGTTGCCTGATGCTGCATGTACTGAGTAAGGTCTGAAGTGCAATGAATGTCCTAACCCCTTCCCCTGCCTATGTGTATGTGTGCACACGCGTGTGCATTCGCTGCCTCTTTGAAGGACATGATGTGAGATGAGGTTGGAAGAAAGTGCTTCCCAGTGGACTCCTCTGCTTCTCTCAGCACACTGTGAGAATGGCTCAGGATGTGGGTGTTCTTTGAAGGGCTTTGCTTGGGCACCTCCAGGTCTGGCACTTCCTCAGCAAAATTTCTTCTTGGAAAGTGTAATTCTTGTTTGACTTTTGCCTGCCACAATAGCCAAGAAAAAAGACCACTCCTGGGTGTTGAAGTTGTGGTGCCCTGTGCTGACACAGAGGAATGCAGGGCAAGTGACCCTAATATGATTTGTGTGGTAGCTTGTAGCATCTGCTCTTCCACAGGCATGTCTTTTGTACTTTATGTTCACATCTAATGAATTTTTTGAGAATATTAGCTATCATAAAAATTGATTCACAAAGTGTCTGGCTTTCACCCCAGTGAGAGAGAGTTCAGACATAATAAAGCCTTTTGAAATCATTTTATATCTGTGAATATGTGTAGAATTTAAATGAACCATTTTACTTAACCTACAGTCCTTCAAATATAAAAGATGGATTACAGAGAAATGTTGAACCCCTCAGTGAAGAAAATATTATTTTGTATTTAGAGATCTTATTTATTAATTTACTTTTCCTGCAATATTACATAGCAGATGCTCCCTAGTCATCACTGACTGTCACAATGCTCCCCTTCTCCTGCTTGCACTGTTTCTCTTTCTCCCTTTCCCCCTGTAGCCAGTTCACCTTCTGCCAGTGGTGGAGTCTTACAGCAGTATTTTTGGGGTGGTGGCCAGAATCTCTTCAGATAAGTCACCAGTTGTGATTTCCAGTACCTGCCTTATGAGGATGATTCCTGTGTTGTTCCTATGGCTGACAAATCCTCTCCAATCATTAACCAAAAGGCTCCGATTTTACCCCCTCTCTCTAGCCAAAATCTCTTTTTCTCCTCTCTTTTTTTTTCTGACTAAAAACACTCTTCTCTTATGGGGCTTGTATCGTCCACCTATTTATAGGTAATTAGCCTTCCTTTCCTCTTTCCCCTCTGATTATTAGTTTCTTCCTGAGTGATACTCAGGAAGTGAGTGTTACTGTTGCCGTAACAAAGCCAGTGTTTTATAATATGAGTTTTTGCTAATTGGGGTCTGATCTATCACTGTTATTCCAGTTGCAAGGGGGGGAAATGCTATGGTGGTGTTGGTACCACTGAGCCTCTCTGGTTCTGACACATGGGTTTTCAGACAAGAGCACAGCATCTGGTTTTTACTTTCTTTCATGAGTCACACTCTTTGATCCTTAATCGTTTTATTCCTCTTGACTGAAATCCCTCTAGTTTTTCTATGTAATCCCATTAATGAGATAGCATCATTCTTCTGACAGAGGCTCCAGACATCTAATTTTATTGCATGGTTTTAACATAAGCCTCAGCTGGCATCATCTTCTTATGGGAACTTGACACATATGCAATTGGTTCGCTGTTCAGAGGCTTGGGTGTTTGTTTTGTTACGCGATTGCTCTTTTTCCTTGTCCTTTCCTCACAAGACTGGCTTCTCTTTTCTCTTTCATTTGGAGTTAGCTGCTGAATTCTGAAGAAACAAAACTTTTCTGCTGAGATCCAATCTTATTCTGTAATTGAATGGGATGGTTTTAAGAATACCAGAGAAATGTCCCTCTTGCAGTAATCTAGGGGCAACCGCCAAGAAATCTGGAAAGTTAAATGATTGATCAGATTCAGAGAGCTTCTCTTTCCTGTCCAATTCCAGATCTAACACAACATTGTTGCCATTGTGTTTCCTAAAATATATCCTTTATTTGCAGCAGAAGGCTTAAAACTCATTCCTCCTGTTACTCCATGTCTATGTCTGCCCTCTTGGGCTGGCTGTGCCATCTCTGTTCCCACTCTTCTAGACTCACAGGCATGATTTTACCAAACAGGAAAAATGGTGTCAGCATTGATTTGCAGCACAGAGTGCACACATTTTGCAGTTTGTGGTGCTGGTTGCTCGGTGAGACAGGGTTGACTCAGAGGCTGTAGTTCCCAAAGGGCATCTTCTTGGCCCTCTTCCCTCCTTTCCCCACCAGTCCTGTTTGCAAATAAGGAATGACAGCCCTGCACCCTAAAGTTGGACCATCGCAGCCCTGGTCATAAGGACAGCCTAAAGCAGAGCAGCATTTCTGGATACAGTAAAACACTTGAGCTCTGATTTTTTCCTGGTGGATCATTTGCTTTCATTTGAACACGTACATTGTCTGTGTTAGATGAGAGGCAGGTCTCTGGCCCCAGAGGAGCCACAGCTTTTCATCCTCCTCCAGCCGAGACCAGCAAGGCAGGGCAGTGGGGTGCAGTGCCCAGAGGCTTGTCATCTCTGGCAGCCGTGGTTGAGCACCCATGTGCATCCTGCCTCTTCCTTGGGATGGTTGTGACATTTGTGAATGCTGGGGTATCGAGTGTGAAGATCAATAGCTGTTGTGAAGAATAAAAAAGCCAAATAGCTTATTGTATACCTGTAAATGGCAAGTTTTAGTTTAAGCTAAACCACCCATTTCCAGGGAAGGACAAAAAAGAGTGAGAATAAGCCTTTTGTTTTTCCTAGCTGGACCACACTTCCAATCACAGGTTTCTAATTTGCTCTTATTTAATAGAGCATGTTTCTGTATACAGGCATAAGTGTGATTTAGATGTGTGTATTTAAAAATGTGTCCATCCTTGTGCAGATCCTAAGGACTTTGATTAGACTGTTGCTGTTGTGGTTGTAGGTCTTTCATGTCAAATGTTGTGCACTCATGTTGCAGCTGGAAACCTCTTCCCTTATCACAACACTAAGTACTGCCAGATGGAAACTGAAAATCTGGAGTGTCTCCAGAAAGCAAGTTTCTCTCTATTCAGAAGTGTGTGCTTTCTCTGGCCCTTTTAACAGATTTTAGGTTCTGTGTGTTTTATTCCTCCTTAATGTCCTAATCAGATTACACTGATTCTAATGTTTCTTGATTTCTGTCCCTTTTAGCTGTGGTGGTGGCATGAAGGGAACTGCCTAAGTGACTCTCTTTCTGCTGTCGCTTTTCCAAAAACTGCTGCAGTAACGCAGAAAGACAGAGGTGAAAAATGCTGCCTGCAATATTTGAAGTGGTGTCATAGGTTTAAGTGCTTTTGTTTTCTGTTTTTTGTTGGTTTGTTGTTTTTTTTTTCATTCTATCGGAAGATTCTTAAAAGTAAAGTCAGTGTGGAACAACCAGCAGCTCCTTGTTACCCACCTGGGTCAGGCGATCTTATTCTTCCAGTTTCTACCAGTGGATGAACTTAGCAGCCTGGGAGGCTGAGAGGAGCATAAACAGTACAAATAATTGCTTTATTGAGATTATACTGTTATTAAATGGGAAAATATGTTTTAATGATATGACATTTGCAGGCATGATACTTACTGCTTGCCTGTTACTGGATTGAATCGGTGAGATTCTCAATTCAGGCTTTCTGGAAGGTATGATGAAATTTCTGTGATGGTGTGTCTTAGATGAAAAGTGATGGAAGTCTTGTTTAGCAATTTGTGTAAATGTCATTAGAGTGGCGCTGATATTTTAAAATCAAGTCTTGCACATTCTGATAGAGATTGGAAAAATTAACTAAGAAGTAATATAAATAAATGGAGCTTGGTCTTTTAGAATAGCTTAATTGCTTCACTCACAAGGCAAAATAAAATGGTTCCTGTACTAAGCATTCTGCAGGGTATTGATTGTGGTGGGGTTTGTTTGGGGCCTCTAGAGTAGGAAGGGGCCATGGCCACAGATAGTCTTCCGTGGCACAGTGTAGTGTCAGCATTTAGGCACCAAGCTTGAGGACTGCAACTGTAGGACACACCTGACATTGTTACACTTGTGTCAACATATTGACTAGATTTGAGATGCTTTCTGGGAGACCTGGACAGTGCTTTGGGAGCTTAACCTGTGCAAGGCCAAGGTCCTGCCTCTGTGTGCCCACAGCTCTGCCCTTTCACCAAAGTCACTGGGGCAGCCTGTTGCCACGTTTTAATTTTCCCTTTTGTCTCTTTTCCTTTT